AGTAGCAGTAGCAGTAGCAGTAGCAGTAGCAGCAGCGGCAGTGGTAGTCGCAGTAGCAGCAGCAGAAGTAGTGGTAGTAGTAGTCACAATAAGTTTAAACAAGCACAAACAAAAGGCCAGAGACACAGGATCAAATTAATAGGGGGGTAGTAGAGAAGATTTTTGATGGGGGGCCGGCCCTTTTGCGGGGTACCCTTTGTGAGCTTGTCAAATGCATGCTTTTTTATTGTTTAAAGAGGCTGTTTATAGGCCTTGAGGGCTAGACATTTTTTTGTGATTTAATCAAAAAGTAGTAGGTAGTAGGTGGTTGGTGGTTGGTGGTGGTGGCGGTGGCGGTGATGGTGGTCGTCGTCGTAGTAGTAGTAGTAGTAGCAGTAGTTGTAGCAGCAGCAGCAGTAGTTGTAGCAGCAGCAGCAGTAGCTAGTAGCAGCAGCAGCAGCGGCGGCAGCAGCAGCAGCAGCAGGAGGAGTAGTAGTAGTAGTAGTAGTAGCCGTTGTTGTTGTTGTTGTTGTACAGCTGAGAGTCCATGAGTTGAGTGATGAACCCCTCTTAGTTAATGAACTAATTGATGAACAAATTGGATATTTTTCTGGGTTGTGTGGGCTCGGATTAACTGGGGGGGGCTTCTGGTACCCAACTAGATCATTAGGGTGGAATAAGCCACCAATACTACTTTTAATTTTGGCAATTCCTGGTGGCTTTGCGGGCTCTGATTATGGAAGGTTTATTAATCATTTTTTTTTACATTAGTGTATTATGTTTATTCTTGGTGGTCAACCAGGGTGTGCCGGATCTGACCCACAGCCACCTCTGTACACATTAACCTTGTAATCCACATGTAATCCACCCCTGGTATCAGTCCAGATACACACACACATTCAGACACACCCGTCCCGTGTCTGGGGGACAAAAATATTGTTTTCATCGCGACCACGGTGCTTTTCCGCCCGAGAAGTCGAAATGGGCTGTCCTCCCTGCGAGGTCTTGCGCACCACGCCGGTTCACCAAGCACTGGGCGCCCTGACGTTGAGTGGAAACGACAAACATTGGTATCATAAGAGTCGTCCGAGCTCAAGGATTGGCACCTTTTGGTCCCATTCCTGGCATGGTGGACGATGGAAGAAGATCTTGACACTCTTGGTGTTCTACAATGGAAGAACTGCAATCTACTGCGGTTTCATCGTCAGCTTCATAATGACGTTTTTGTTCGCACTAGGTTTCCTACCTGGCTTCAGAAAGAACCAATATCTTGAGCGGACATCGGTTTGGGGCTTGGGCTCTGGAAGCTTGGCAGCGCTGATCACGTTGATCTTTTGGCGTCCCAGACAGAGGGTCTTTTTGGACAGGATATGTATCAACCAGCACGACAGCAAGCTGAAATCGGACGCAATCTGCAGTCTTGCAGGTATGCTAAATAAGTCAGACAAGATGTTAGTGCTTTGGGACCCGACATGGAGTGAGAGATTGTGGTGCTTATTTGAGTTCCTTGGACTTACAGAGGCGCAGGATGGCGTGTTTTCGTCTCCTTTGTGTTTGAACTAATGGTTCAACAGCTTTAGACATCAACAAACTCATATCACTTCAGGCCGAAACAGTGTGCTTTGTGCATCCCTATCCTATAAGAGCATTGACGCAAACTGGTGCAAAACTACCTTTGGGAGCTGGCATCAGTGAAACTTGCAAGCCCCCCCTTTTCTTCGGAGCTTAGCATGGTTTGGATCAAATTAGGTTTTATTCGGGGTGGTTTGGACTCTGACATATGTTAAACGCACTTGAGCAGTTTGTTTGATTCAGGGTCATGGTCAAACAGATATGCTTAACACACCAAGCAGATGATGGTCACTCGGACACAACCGTTGCGACTCGCGGCTTCAAAACCCTCACGCCTTTGACCTCAGCTCTTGAGGCTCACGGCCTTCTTGAAAAGCAAGTCTGAGAGTGCACAGAAGCCTGGCGTCGCAAACTTGAGCGCCCCACAACACGCCCACGAGTTCGGAAGGGGCTCCAGGTCCCCCAGGCCTGTTCCGGAGAGAGCAAAGCTGCAAACCTATTAGTGCTCATACTTGTTTATCCCTTTTAGATCCTTTGGCAAACTGGCCCTTTGAACTCATTGGGTCACTCCTGGGATGGCTTCATTCTTTGGACACTCTCACATAGATCTTCCGGCTGTGCAACATTCCACCTAACCTGGCTGGTTTGGGCAGAAATTCCGCACAGCTGGAAGATGTGGGAACGACTCTTTCCGGCTCCGATCCGGATGTGTTTTTTCTCGCGTTTCAGTTCGCTCCTTCCTAGTGCTCCGCACATTCCGCCTGCCGCCACTCGTACTCCCCACTCTCTGTGGCAGCAGGGGGCATGGAACACATGCATCTCATTGCGGTGCCAAAGTGATGTATGATTGGCAGTTACTTACATGGATGGGTCATTGTTCTTTGGATAAATGTCTAATTTATAGATTCCATGGATTGTTTGCCCAAGGAAACTGATGATTTGGCCCATTTTCCTAGGGCCATGTTCCATCGTGTCCTTTGCCGCAGTGCACGTCACCTTTCTTTCCATGGTTTTGCTGCAGAATGATGCTGAAGACTATGTCCCCACAGGCATTCTCATGTGACCTTGGCTCACCAATCACAATTTCTTTGGACTTGTTTTTCACTGCTTGGGACGGCTTGATTCCATCCCCAACTCTCCCAGATTCATTCCAAGATCGAGCTAGAGGCTCCATCCTCCTTCTTCCACCGACGCTCCGAAGGCAAGTCACAGGCAGTCTCGCAGGGTATTTCATGATCCGAGTCTTCCGTGGCTACTTTCGCTCCCTGGAAGAGCTCAAGCAGCAGCTGTGCTCGGTGGACTTTGACCGCACGCGGAGTCAATGCTGTGAAGAGGCACACCAAAATGGTCAACTCTGTGATCGGAAGATTGTCAAAGCATGCGTCGCAAAGTGGTTTGGCAGCCAAAGGGCCTTCGAAGAATGCATTCGATCTGAAGTGATGGGAACGATTGTATCCTGGTTCTGATTGGGATGACGTTGCTTTAAATTTGTTTGTTTAACCGTTTAACATCATTTATTATACAATTACTGTATAAGTAATAGATTATATATATATATGCTATGTTAGTATTAGTATTGCTAGTGTTATATAGTATGGTTTGTTTGTGTTTTTTTCAGGGATCGAGAGGAGATGGGAAACCACCCCAAGATTCGATGGGAAGATCAGGTGTCAAACCTGGAATTCGACCAAGTCGTTCGACGAAGTGGAATTCTTTCAGTCACATCTCCCGCTCTTTGGGCTTGGCTGGATGTATCCGCCTCTTGGGTCGCGATCGGCGAGAGAAGTCGTGCTGTGCAGCTTTGCTTGGATGGCTTCACAAACTGGCTTTCTGAGCTGCATTGTTGGGCCCTTTTCCTTCGAACAAACATGGAAGTGGAGTGAGTGAAAACATGTGAAAGCCCCTTGTTTGGCCCATGAGGATTTCATGGTCTTTCGGCCATGCCATCCACTTTCATGATTGTTTCAGGGAGGGTATAGAGTTGTCTTTGCCAGACACTGGACCAGGGTGTCCTGTGTGTGGATTGCTCTAATTCGGCACTACTGGATCTTATGGCATCTTACGGACAATACACCCTGGTCCAGGTTGGTCCACCATACCTGTGACTCTGTGAGGTCAGACAAGCTCAACGGTTTTTTGTTCGGAAGGACCTTCCACCATGTCTAAAACAAACAACGCCATATATGTCGAAGGTCCTTTCTGGACCACATGTTTAGCATTCTACATTGGTGCGTGTCCCATGTCTACTAGTAACAGGTTTGTGACAGATTGATAGGCCTGAATCGTACTATCATCATGCACTTGGCGCTGCATGGTAGGCTTTTGATGATTCCCTTCATTGCAGAGCTGGTGGTGTTTCTCTCACGTCGATTTCATCAAAAGGCTTCTTCTCCTCTACGGGAAGTGCTCATGAATCTGGGTGTGCTCATGATGGTGGTGCCGCTCCGTGTTCTTCTAGCTGGAGCTTCTCAGAAGCCAAGAAGAGGGCCTCTAAACTTTGCTGGACGATTTCCAGTCAGATTCCCATCAAGTGTTGGACCAAAATTCCTTGCGTATATCATATAAAAAGCCTATAGGATGACACCTACACAATGATATTATCTTATGAATGTTCCCTCAACATGTCCAACCCCAAAATCTGACTTCAGGTTTACTACATGTTTAATCGATTGGAGATTGGACGCGAGTTGTGCCTTGGTGGGATTTACTAGATGCTTGTGGCATAGTGCTTCACATTTCCTGCGGTTCGTTCCTTTTCGCTAGTAGATTGGAGGCCATCACTATTAGGTTGGAGGCCATCGCTATTAGGTTTGGGGCCATCGCTATTAGGTTTGGGGCCATCGCTAGTAGGTTGGAGGCCATCCCTAGTAGGTTGGAGGCCATCGCCAGTAAATTGAAGGCCATCGCTGGTAGGGTGGAGGCAATCGCTGGTAGGTTGGAGGCCATCGCTGGTAGGTTAGAGGCCATCGC